AGAAGGTTTCTGAAAGCGGAGTGATTCAAACGGTGAAACGGTCCCTGTGGTGATTGGTAGAATATTGCATGGCTGAAAAAAAGGCTCTCAGACAATCAGATTCGTGAACAAGAACTGCTGCATAAACTACATTAGAAATAGAATTGATATAAACATTTATACATTTGAAATAATCAAAAATAATCAGCCACAATTTGAAATATTGACTTTAATTTGGTCCATATTGTTCAAATAAAAGATTGCATTCGCTGTATCCCATATATGACATCATATATAGCTACCGGTATACATGAAATAGATGCCTTTCATTTCATTTTACGATAATCTCCAGGAGGAAATGCCTTTGTATCAAGAATATGTTTTAGACGGGCAACTTAACCCTCAATGTTATCAAGTTACTCTTTTGAAATAATTAAATGAAATAGTGTGAAAAGAATCAGCATTTCAAAGAGCAGCAAACAATATAAACACCCAACAGTGCTCATTGTTGATCAAATGAAACACAAACACCTCCTTTTACACACCCTTTTTTCTCCTGGGAATCAACACGATGTGTGGGGTTATATAAAGAATTTTGAAATGAAATAATCTCCCTGAAGTGGCTGACTTTTAAGAAACCAAATAAACTAAAAATGCACATTGTAGCCTAAATAAAGCTGACCCATTAATGATACTTGAATTGAATTATGAATTGCATTATATATTATTCCAGCGTAGAAAGGACAGATAACCACATTTTTAAAGCTTATGTGTGATAAATGCGTCATCTTGAGGTCTCAAATCAGTTTCACTGCTTTAGGCACTCACGAAGTGCCTAAAATGAAGTGAAATTATGTTTTCACAAAGACTTTCAGGCTGCTATAGTAGGCCACAACGCCGGTTGTCTCAGCTGGCAAAAATAAAGCCTAAACAACTTTTAAGATTTCAATCGGCATAGCAGCCAAGAAGCAGTGAGCAATGCTCCTCCGTTGGCATGACTCATAGTTACACGGTAACACTGCATTCATCTTTATCCGACCATGTAGGATATTTGTCTTCATCATATCAGCAAATCTCAGGTTACTCATCTCGGCTGAATCGGTGAGGCCTTGGTTTTAATCTTAATGTCATTGAACTGGTGTAAACCTTCCCGGTCTTTATCCAATCCTTTTAAACCATGACACAAACACTCCTTGGGGAGCCTGTGAGAAACGCGGTGGCGTTCGAATGCCCCCGTGAGGTGACGCTTCGTGGCGGGGGACCCCTGAGGAGAACCCGAGCCTTTCTCCTCTGACTCACTGGACCTGTCCTCTCTTCTGTCACGCCTACGTGTCATCTCTCCAACCGTCCCCGCTCGGCTTTGGAGCGGGACGCCTCATCCCGAGACAGACCCCCCTTTCGCTCCTTGGTTGCTTACCGAGGGGCCACGGAGATCTCCATTACAGCCTTCTGCCCAGAGACGCGGCTATTGGGAGGTGGCGGAGAAGGCCTTTCACAGGAGTATTACAGAACAACGTCGGGCTCTGATAAGCCTCCGGTTACGGCCTCCAGGGACCCGACTCGTCCGTCTCCGCTCCCCACCTGGGGGTGAGTGCTTTCTCTCGCGGCTGCAGAAAGGGCTTTGTAAAAGGGCAAAAAGCGCGCAACACAACTCTATTGGTAGAGGCTTTTAGTAACCCTAAACCACATGACCTGTGACTAAGGTCCTGTGCCGATTCCCACCGCCAAGAAAAAACGCACACAATTTAAATTCATAAAGACCTTTGTCACACATTCAAAAGCTCTTTTTTTGTTAATGTACGTACTGTCACAGGAGAGGCTGGCATTCAGGGGGACAGGCTTATAGTGTCATCTGCCTGGGCTCTCAACCAGCGTACCAACCCACGCTAATGTGGCGCGAGAGAGCCGAGGGGGCCGCTGAGCAGGGCAGAGGAGAACGAGCCGTAGACTGTTATGCAAAATCGCTTCCATTTTTATCTTCTATATTATGCTTTCTGCAATCTGGGTTCAAGATTCAAGAGACGGCAGAGTTTATTGTAGCGTGCTGCTGAAGCGCCTGCATATTTGCGCAGCGGGACGCCGCTGCCCACACATGCATGGGAGGGAGAGATGACTGTCCATATATACTTTACTTGCACAAATAAACAAGTTCGAATGACTTAGATTTTGACGCTATTTCATACTTAAACCACTCTACAACACTCGCTGCTCGGTTCTTCCTCCTGCTAAGGTTGTAAACTTCTGGAGTGAGCAAAATTTCTGAGTTAACAAGGGAACAGTAAAAGGGGCTTGAGAATTTGCACGCAGCAGGTTTATATTACGCACCATCCAGATAACCTCTGGAAGCCTCGTCCTTCTTTTTGGCTTGGGCCTAACTTTTACAATGACTCCCTGATGGTATGTGATCAGTCATCTTAAGCTTAGTGCATTTTCACTCCGCAGGCTTGTAGTTGGGCACATAAACAGACTTGAACCAATTGGGGGATTTAGATGCTGCAGGAGTTAAAGTACTTAAAAGGATAGTTTTAGCCAAAGTGTCATTCTCAACCTGTGTGTCCACACAGTTAAAGTCACTGGGGTCCAAAACAACTTTAGTGACTTTTATTGTATGGACAAAACAATAAGCTACATAAAAAAAATCATACAAGTTTGGAACGACATGAGAGTGAGTAAATGATGACAGATTTTTCATTTTTGGGTGATCTGTCACTTTAAGAATATTCAACATCAAGTGCTTTTTTTTTGCAAATGTTCTTTAGGTATTTTCTTTTCCTTCAGTTTCTGTGTTTAAACAGTTTTTCTTGTGGAGCTTGATCATACTGGAATGGTGACATGACTTTTAAATGGCTCTGAAATACAAAATATTGTTGAAGTAAATGCTAATTAAAAATGTTCCCAGCAGATTTGACCTTATGGATCTTCTTTGGAATGTCTTTTGTAAAAAGCCTCAAGATAATTACATAGCAAATGTATTGTTCCATTTAACAGGAAAGAGGAAAGTTAAATTTTAATGAAATTGAATCCCAAACCGGATTACTGTGTGACAATGACATGCTATTTCCTAGTAAACATCACCGATCAACAAAGTTCACACACTCTTACACGGGAGAGTTCAGCCAAAAATCAACATTCTGTTATTTCACCCTCATGTCATTGCAAACCTACATGTTTTTCTTTCTTTTCTTCCTTGAGACACAAAAGAAGAAATTTTGACGATATATACAAAATGGGAACCACATTTTTCAAGAGTGTAAAGAAAATGTATGATGATTCGTCATTGTGGATCAATCAAAACATCATTAAAGTGGTCAGTATGAATCAACATCTATATTGGAAGTCTTTTGAAGTCATAAAATAGTTTTGTGCGATACATTTTTTACTCATTACTCAATTCATTGCAACTTGATTAAGGAGTCAGATAGTTAAACTATTCCAATTGACTGAATCATTTAGGATTCAAGATCAATTAATTTGTGTAAAAGATGTGAGACAAAAAAATGATTCGCCACTTCTCTGATGAACTTTCATGAACTACAATGGATGACAAGGAAGTTAATTGAATACTTCCTTCTGCAGAAAGAAAGTAATGTGGGTTTGGAACAACATGAGCATGAGTTAATGAGTGAACCGTCCCGTCAAATGGATTTTACGTACATTTTTAAAACAAAGTCAAAAACTATCAAAAATATTCAAAGGCTAAATTAAAGCAGACAGCACAACTGTCATTATGATGGATTTATTAGTCATAATGAGAAGTAAGCCCACCCAAGCCTCAGCAATGGTGGATAAATGTACTTTATTCACATCTCATACATATATTTGCATATATTCATATAAAATACAGAATACAGTAGACTGTCACCCAGACAATGACTGGGCCACAATTCCTTGTTTACTTTTGGCACCCTGACTGGCTTCCTGACTAGCTGTGTTCTGCAGTCTTACAAATATGATGCAGGATCCAATTGCGGCAGTTGGGACGTGCCAAATCTGAAAAAAAAAAAATGGTTCCCTTGTACGTTCCTCAGATCTTAGCATCACAAAGGGAGCAACAGTGTTTTCCGACACTTCGCCAACAGGCCAATGGTGGGAATTTCACGGGCGGGCTCATATGGTTTATGGTTTGTGATTCAGGGGGTCTTAAGACGATGCCATATGCACACAAAAAATTCATACATGATGTAGGATTGTTCCCACTTTTGAAGTTGGTGCAGCTTATTTGTCACTATTACTTATTGACTCCTTATCAGGGTACCAACAAAGACGCCAAAGGAAGCGTCATCACCCTCTAGACAGACAGAACTTCCAGTTCAGAGTTTTCCAGAATCAATTTGAGCATAAAAATGAATCTTGCATGTTTATCATCTGTGACCTCACGCTGTAACATTACCAGCACTGCCCTGAACTACACTGAGACGATCTAAAGCAGTTTACAGGAAATCTCTGATGGAAAAAGTAAATAGTTTTCACTGACATGTCCCATCGAGAGCTTCAAAATGAATATGATTGTCGGAATAACTGCATGAAAACTGCTAGAACACTACGATGAGAGACGTTTCCATCGCTGCCAATGTTAATACGAGTCTCTGTAAACATCCACCTTAACCGGTACAAGATATTATTTACCAAATGTCAACTTCACATTACATGCTGTATCTTAAAAACTGTCGTGCTCTAACTAAGAGAACAAAGACTGGGCAGACAACAGGTTATTCCCCACAACACAGGATATAGATCATTACAACCAGTTTGAGAAAGCAGGGTACAAAATCAAATCTGATCTCCACTGAGTTTCGTCTCAAAGTCATTAGCACTTGTCTATATGAGTCGTAGCTATCATAAATCAGTATGTACAGAATAAGCGCAAGACGTCAGATGTCAACATGCATAAATTGATACGTACTCAGCAGGAGACCGAAGCCGGAACCGGATTGTGTTCTGCTTTTCTTGGAAAGTCATCTGAAATGTCTTAGAGGATTTTTTTTTTAATATATATATATATATATATATATATATATATATATATATATATATATATGACTAGTGCAATAACATTATTACATAATTTTTTCCGTAATAAATATATGGCTGGTTATCCAAAAAGAATCTTTACAGGGAGAGCCATGCTATGAAAAGGCACAAAAATATGAGTAGAAGCATACATGTACGTTTTCTATTACGGTTACTTGTTTGTACTGTTAGCGAAATCTTCCGACAGCGTCAAAGGACCGATGAATATCTGTATTCGAATAAGTTGTTTTTGTGGTGTACCGTTTTGTTTGACGTAACACTACTTGAGTTTGTTTTGATCTTAAGTCTGACTGATGCATTTTAATACATTTGCTTCTGGAATGGCAGAAAAATCGGATTTTTATTCTAAATCAAAAATCTACAAGCTATAAAACTCTCATGACCATTGACAAAAGCGGAGTCGTCTATAAAATTAGCAGCCACCAGAATGACTTCAAAAACACTGCAACAGACTTTATAAAAAGCTGTAATGCGGAACTAAGTGCATTAATCGTGGATGTACTGAAAAGACTTTAATATATGATATATAGCATTAAAAGTCATTCACGTAACGGCGTCTATCAGATGAGGAGCTATAATGGTACTTACAAGGTTGTAGCTAGTGTGAACGTAGGGTTTACTGTACACAAGCGATTAAGGATTGCGAGATATTTTTTAAGGTAGAGATGATTGTGTATTGGTCATCTCATTGGATATTTGATGCCATGCAGGTGTCATGTCATATTCAGAAAATAAATAAATTAAGTCCACACCACCAGTCTATAGTGATAATAAAAACAATTCACAAATCAGATGATACAATCTGAAAATTACTTTACTGATTCAAGCACTCAGAAAAACTGAAAAGGCGTCTATTTGGACGCCCAGACCAAAAGAAAGAGAGAGAGAACAAGGATTAAGAAAGAAAGAAGGAGATGGACCAGAGCAGCTGGAGGTAGTCGATTCTGCTTTAACTCCTTTTCGATAGCCATCTGCTCTCAAGCAATAATATGGCTGCCCTCCTTCTGAACTGCGGATCCTGCGCTCGGAAAAATGCGCTTGGCTATTTGACATCTCCGGGTGAATCCAATGCCGTGTTGCTTTCGTTCTGTTTTTCATCTAATTCCTCCTGTCTCCTTGCGGTCTCCGAGAGGAGAAGGAAGTGTTAAAGAGCATGAAGTGTGACTCTCAGAAGTTCTCAGAAAGGAGCAACTGTATCTACCCCAATGGGTTCAGCAGTGGTTGATAAGAGGGCATCAGTTCTCAAAGAGCAGTTTCAGGCCTGTATGTGTCCTTCACAGCTAGAAGTTCAGTAAGAGAATCTTTCGGAGGTGGTACTTGTTTGTTCCTGTCCGTTGTGCCGTCTGAAGCAGTGACTGTAAAATTTGATTTATCAGTAACAGCTTGTGTTAAAGTAGGTTAAGTTAATACTTAAAAATAAATAATTATTATTCACCTGCGTTGGTTAAGATGGGGGTGGATTTACACTGCCATGATAATATTTAATCTGTTTCTGGAAAAGGAAAACAGAAAGTTGGAGTGAAACAACTGAATCAGCACACAATTGAGTACAAAACTAAATTCCAAAAATGTTTGCCACTTAAGCCACACTTAAAATGCATAAATGCAAAACAAATGTGTTAGGTTTCATATTATAAAACAATATATAGTGACATTTAATGTGATTTATTTTTAGGCAGTGCCCAATCTGAAGTATAACTTAAGTATCCAAATCTTTTAAGGGTCAATGAAAGTGTAAAAAACAGCACACTATTACGCAGATTTGACTGCTGCAAACATTACTTTTCAGATATCTCCACATCTAATGGGGGTACACTGGCTTCCTCTCCTGAGAAAAGGGCGGGACCTTCTTCTGGACTCCGTTCGGTTTGGGGGGCGTTTCTTCTAGATTTAATCTGCATCACAAACGGACAAATAACAATACCAATCAGAACATAAAGTGAAAATGCTGTGATCTTGAAGGCCCAGCAGGGCAAGCCACCACACGTACCTTCCACACCAACAAAAACACCACTGCGATGAACGGGATGGCGAGGAGCGACATAAGACTGCTCTCCACAACTTTCGGAAGGAATGCCCCTGGAGACAAATTAGACTGGTTTTATTAGTTTGCAAATATGCACTTGTTAGACAGTGACAGATAGCAAGATAACCTTTGATCCTTACAGAACACATCTGTCTATAATTACGAACTAAACTAAACTGACCTGGCCTACATAGCTGGACAGTTTTCTTCAAATAAATGTTAAAGGAATGGATCAACCAAAATAAAATAAAGAATAAAAAATAAAATAAAAATTCTGTCATCATGTTATTTTTTCCTCGACAGATAAAATCAAATTTGACCTCATGTCATTGACCTCATGTCATTCCTTGTTTCCTCAATAGATAGTGTCTTCTTTAAAGGTGGTCTAAGCGATGTTGATTGACATCACTTCTTGTTGACGTTCGAAGTATTGTCAAACAAAATGGAGGCTAGATCGACCCTCCCTCCTCCTCATCCCGTCGCCTCCCCCTCCCTTCCGTGCTTCCTGAAACAGGCTTTTCCGATGTAAATTCGGGACTTTGCGCGTTCCTTCTCCTTTTCCCTCTTCTTTGCTATTTGTTCATCGGAACGTCGTCTCTTTGGTTGTGTGTCGGCCATATCAAAATTCAAGAGAATATAATTCTAACGTTAGTCGTTGTCGTGGACATCTCTCCTCTAGCTAACTTCCCTCTTCATCCTTCTCTCTCCTCCACTCTCCACACCCCCCTTCATGTGCAAGCGGACTAACCCCCCAACCCCCACCCCCAAATCATTATTGTCGGTTATTGGCTGGAACACTGTTTGTTATGTTTCGTGGTGCAGGTTTGCCCAGTTTGTTTTTCTTGCCGTTTGTGAAGTCTGGGCTGTCTACAGAGACAGCGTTTTTTTTTACAGTGTGTTCAGGGGACTGCCACCTAGTGGATAGTGAGGAGATGTTTGCTGTATGTGACAATTATTTTATTTTTTTTCGCCCGTGTGTATATCGTCATATCCATAAATAAAGAAAAGTTGCTCTGGCTACTTTGCCGCATGTATGGTGTGGGAGTGGCATAGGTTAGTTGGCACAACAAGCGAGAAAGGTTTACATGGAGCAGCTATATCTCGAACCTCCGATGAATCACCCCTTTAAAGAACGGAGGAGAGTCTGCTGTCAAAAAAAGAACGCGACAGATCTCGTAATAAAACAAGAACCAACATTGGCTTGGCTTTTCGGAGATGGCAAGAACTGAGGGATTGGAAATGAACGGATAAATTGCCATGTGTAGCTCTCTAACAGAGTTTATTTTAAAACATTATCTATTGTGAAGGATCATTTCACTATGGGCTATTGTAGCGCAATGCTGGAATTTATTTTCAAGGAAGTATGTACCATGTCTGTTAATGGGTATAGCTACAGTAATGTCTTCAGCTAGTCAGCTTGAGATCCTTTCCATCTTATATCTCTTAAGCCTAGTAGGGCATGTTTTATGAGCAGTAGGATAATCTCTCTCTCTTTTTTTAGTTATGAGAAAGAACCATATTCATCTGCGCATTCATGCAGAGCCGAACCAAAGCAATGCGTTTCCGCAAAATGCATGGAGTTTTGTTTTTTTAACCGCTAGAGAGCCAAAAGTTAAAAAGTGTACCTTTAAAAAATTATATAAAATTTCTGTCATCATTTACTCAACTCCATGTTGTTCCTGGATTCCCCCACAAAACATAAGACTAAACAAAAAAAACATAAAACGGCCTTATTCCCTATTCAATTTTATCATTTGGAAAATAGACGTATCTCTTCTTGTGTCCCAGGGAAGAGAGAAAGTCATGTAGGTTTGGAACAACATGAGGATAAGTAAGTGTTTTTTTCCTTCATTTCTGGATAAACTATCCCTTGGAAGTGTACAATAGTGATGACTGAAGACATTTATGTGATATCTCACCTTTTTCGGGGTCATCAGGCAAACCGTTACGTTTCTCTAGAGAAAGCCAGAAACAGAGAAGCATTAAAAGTCGCAGATAGAAACCGTTCATTGTTAGATGCTTAAAAAGTCGGACACAATCTCCTTTTCTCTCCGCCCCATGAAAGATCTGATCTGTCCGCTTTTAGAAAGAAAGAGCTTGCGCTTGGGAAGATCTGAAGATTGCTCTGTAATCAACATGGTGACAATTGGACTTCGATTCTGTTCTCCCTTTCATGCCGTTCACTAGGGAGCATCTCTTGGTTTTGAAACTCAGCTGAGACTCTGTCATAATAGGGCTGACAAAAACATGTTGCCTTCTCTTGTTTTGTCCAGCGGCTTCGTTTGAAAAGGCATGGGACACACACACATACACCCACGCACACACACAACATGCACAAAATTGCAACCAAAGCTGCCACAAGAGATATGATTTAAAAGCGGGTGTTAAACCTCAGTTGCAAATGGGCGGTCTTCCACAAACGACATTCTGCAGTTTCTCAATAGCTTCATTAAAAAGTGACACAGACAACACTCTGCAATATGGTGTCCATGCCTTCATACAAAGGTCTTTAAGACCAGTTATGACATGCGCCTCACCATTTGTACTATGTTGCGCTGACGTTGTCGACATCGTTGTAGTTGTCGTTACTGTTGTTTTTGTGGACGTGGGACATGGCGGGGGCTCGCAATCCTCGGCCTCTCTCGACGAATTGGCAGTGTTGAAAAAGTCCTCCACATATTCAAAATACTTTGCCGTAAGCCACATCTCCTCTACATAATGACACTCGAATTCTAGCATCGAATCCTCCTAAAGGTACAGAAAAATAATTGTTGATTTACGTTTTACTTCAATTTTTTTTTTTTTTTTTTAAATATAAATTTAAATAGTAATATACACTTATTCAAATAAATTATTCACAAAATTATTCATTTTACAAAAGTTGGTCATTGGTTACAATGTTACAATACATTTTTGGTTGCATTTTATTTTACAGTACGTGCACTTACAGTGTACTTACCTAAGAAAGTACTGGGTAATATAACTACATGGATTAATGTTAGGTTTAGGGGTTGGTTCAGGGTTAGTACCTAGTTATTACCCAGTTATTTTAATTACTATAATAAGCACATAGTATGTACATGGGGAATATGACTGTAAAATAAAGTGCTACCAATTTTTTTTTTAGAAACCATTGCTGAAAAGACAAATATATCGAAATAATAAAACATACAAGAAATTTCACCGGTATACAAAATTGCTGAATGCAAAACGGTTGTTTATTGTTATCACTTGGTTAAGGTAACTTACCAAGCCATGTCCAATATGATACCGCATCTCTTGCAGTATTTGGACAAAAGTGCCTATATTATCTTTATTGGAGGATATGTTCCCAAACTTCTGCGCCAGGCCTTTTAAGCTCACCTCCAAGTGAAATACATTTAGCTTCACCCAGCACATACCACTCTTGAAGAAAAAATGAAAGACATTACCATACTTTGTTATCACCCTGCTCGCTTTTATTCCTGTGAATGATTCAACGAAAATTGAATAACAACAACTCACCACTTCTTTAGGTATATAACGTACTGTAATCTTGTAGTCTTTTGGAATATTCTGTTTCTAATGGGAGAGAAATAAATCATAAAAAGCCAATTCTAAGTGCCAAAGACTACACTGCACATGGTCATTTGATCATCAATAAAAATGCTAAACGGGAAAATTGACTATTAAGTAACCACAATATAAACAAAGAATTACTGTAATTTGCTTTATAACATTGGCTTATGTATAGTAATGAAAACTACCAACATATGTTACATATTTACTTCAAAAGATCTACATTTTAATCACTGGTCATCAACCTTTCAGCAAATGGCACGCACAGTGATATTGCATCATAATTCATAAATATTTTGCTAAAGGAAAGTGAATACCATTAAACAACACACAAGTTCAAACAAAGCGATAAACTCAATAATACTTTCAACAGGCCAATGATTTTTTAACTTTCTAAAAAGGCTGTCTGCAGAAAAGCATTTTTTTATGTATACGACTCCATTATCATACTTTGAACCATATGTCTGCAGCTTTCATTCCAACACACATGAAATAAATTTCAGCTCAGTCTTTTCCCTTGAGCATCGATAAATCAGCCTTTGCTGTTGTCTTTCAAAAAAATAAGATGAGAATAAAACCCCCCACGGCACTGGAGAGATAAGAATGTCCAAGCTCTTACCAACAAAGAAATTTTCCTGATGTCATCTGTAATGGGATTTCCTATTTCACTGGAATAGGCAGCAACTGTAATGTACAGCAATAAATGGACACAGGTGCATATCCAAATCTGAAAAAACAAGAATTAAAAGATCAGTCTGAGGTTAATAGATCATATCTGAAATCTTTTAATAATACAGATCTGTGTCCTAATTTATAATCTCATTGTTTAGAAGAGTGTTAGGCAAAACGGGAAAATGTTTTCACTGCTATTTTAAGAATATCCGGGTCAGGTTCACTAGAATAAATGAACGTTTTTGTCTAGCAAACTCTCCTTCCCTTCCGCCGCTATAAAGCTGGTTGTCCCATGGTGGCTTAGAGCTTTATTAAAGCTTTTGCTCTACTCTTTCCAGACCTGCGATTTGAGCTTGTTGCATAACAAGAGGCAGATTTGCTCTTAGCCCTGATTACAAGGGTGATCCCAGACAAACAATGCATGCGCCTTGTCAGGAGAAACGGGCCAGTAAAAGAAAGAGTTTCAGCTTTGCTCTGAGAGGGAGCGGACAGAGGTGAAGAGCAGAATCGTTCGAGGACAGGCTGTTCAGCTGCGAGATGCTCTGAGTATGTAATTGCACAATTACAAAATTGATGCCCTGCAATTACGTATTTTCGAAAATTCGTTTGGTTTTTGGATCACGTGACCTGATCGAATGCGTTTCTCAGGAGGCATTTACATTTTTAAAAAGTTCAAAAACAGCTAGAGCACAATGCAGGGGTCTCGTGTAAAGTGGATGAATCATTCAAAACTGACCATATTTACTTTCTTAATGCATGTTTCTTGTCTTATTGTGAATGATTCATGCTATTCCAAAGTTCATTTTTACATTAACATGCAATCATTTTCCTCTGAAACAACTTTCCTTTTTTACTGATATCACTAAGGCTGTGCAGGCTATTGGATGATGTTACCCAATTTAGCCAAACTAGCATTCTATTAAGCTGTTGTTTTAGCGAAGTAACATTTTATTAGTCTTTTTTTTAAGCAAGCAGTGTTCAAATTTTTTTTTTTTAGCAAACCATCATTCAATTTAGCTGTTGTTTTTAGAAAACTAGCATTCTGTTTAGCCATTGTTTTAACAAACTAGCTTCTATTTGTCTTTTTTTTTTTGTGGCAAACTAGCATTCTATTTCGCCATTTCAACATTGTATTTAGCCATTCTTTAGACAAATATTCTATTTGTCTTTTGTTAGCAAACTAGGATTACATTTAGCTATTGTTTTAACACACTAGCATTCTAATAGCATTCTATTTAGTAGTTGTTTTAGTAAACTAACATTCCATTTAGCCATTAACAAACTAGCATTCGGTTTAGCTGTTGTTTTAACAAACTAGCATTATATTTGTCTAATTTATAGCAAAAGAATAGCATTCTATTTAGTAGTTGTTTCAAACTAACAATCTATTTAGCCAGTGTTTTAGCAAACTAACCTTTCATTGTCTTTTTTTTTAACAAACTAGCATTCTATTTAGCTTATGTTTTAGCAAACTAACATTCTATTTAGCCTTTTTTAAGCAAACTAGCATTTTATTTAGAAATAGTTTTAGCAAACTAACATTTTAATTGGCTGTTGTTTTACGTAAATGTACGTAATGTATACTTTTCATTGTTCAAAATAAAATAAAATAAAATCCACCTCTACACTTTTTCTCATTAGATATCCTGATTCCTTCGGAAATGTGACATAGCATCTTAAAAATGCACCATGGCAGGACGTTCAAGAAAACAGTGAGACACAGTTCAATACAAAGACCAAAAACATTTAGTCTAAATATTATGAATGGTTGGAGAAGTGGTGCTTTAATGGTTATTTTACAGAATTTAAACTTCTAAACTTATGAATTTATTTACAGTATAAAAACAGCATGCAAATTAAAGCGCCACCACCACTAAACTAAAAATTAAATATAAGAAAATTTAGATAAACTAGTCTACCTCACTAACACTAGATAACCAGTTTAAACTATCTCCAATTCCATGCTACCAGGTTTTGGAAGGTCTCAGCTGCTGACATGAAAAGTAAATCCTACCTACAGCCATAAGGAAGAACCTTGTTTCATCACAGATTACATCATGGCATCAATGATTTCACATTAAATTGACATACATTGATACTGTTAGGCAGGTCATAGGCTTTTTAAGCAAATCTACAAATTTATAAGATGGAAATTATATATTTCCAACTAACTCTCCTAAAATGTTCTACCTGGTTAAATAGGGCATGTTTATTTGCATCGAACTATAAATAAGACTAACCATATGTAAATGCTTAGGTCTTGCTTTGAATTACTGGACTGCAAACAAAGTAAACAAAGCTAGTACAGCATCTGGAATTTAGTATGCACTCGAACAAGCAGTTCTATCTGTAGCAAGTCTTTCAGACAGCATCATCGGAGACTGTAAAGGGCTCTTGCGTGTCGTGAACCAGATGAGGAGGATTTGTTGAAATTTGGTGACTGAAGCAGCATATGGAAGCCCAGATGTTTTATTGGTTATATTATCCAATATTTGACTTCCTCCCAGACTTTAAAGTGTCTTCATAGTAGACTTGTAGTCAAGACCGCCTAAACCGAGACCAAGACACTACCAAGACCAGAGGGTATCGAGACCAAGACAAGACCAAGACCAAGACCAAGACCAAGACAGACCAAGTCGAAACCAAGACCGAGACCAAGTTGAGACCAAGACGGAGACCGGAGGGGGAAAAAACAGACTAGTGTTGTTGAAGCTAAGCAATAACTTGTAAGATTTTGTTTTGCATTGCCTGCCTATCTCTGCCGATTTCGAAGTCTCCAAATGAATCCATTCTGCAACTTTTAAATACATAATTATATTTTTAAAAACGAAATTATAAGCTAAAGTCCAGGATCCGAAAGTTGGTTGTTTTGTCGCTATGGTTACACACACACACACACACACACACACCGTTGGCGGTGCGCTCAAAGTCATCTGTCAGTTGTGCAGTTACCCAAAATCTCCTGAATGAAGTTAAAACCCATCATGTCACTGATATGTGTTTTACTAAATATTAATACATCAAAAACTGTACATGATATGTGTTTTTTTAAATCAAGTGATCAAAGTGCTCGTTGCCGCTGCGATCAGTGGCGCGGATACGGCTCGCGCACCGCACTGTCTTCACTCGGACGCGCGCTTCAATCCGTTGCGGATATCGTCGTGGATATTGATATAGCTAAATCCCCGACCACTATGTCGGTCTGAGACAACGAGACCTAGACAAGACCGAGAGGTCCGAGACCAAGACAAGACCAAGACCAAAGACCGTCAAGGCCGTGACAAGACCGAGACCACGTAAAAGTGGTCTCGAGACCAAGACCGGTCTCGAGACATACATCACTACGTCATAGCAAGAAACTACGATTTCAGCAAGTACTCAGTTTGGACACATCAACAAATGCTTGTCTGTCTCCCATTTAAATGTGAACCATGGCTCATATTCAACGCTGACTGTCATAAATCAATCTAGTGTAAGCAAAGTGAACCGATGACAGGATCAACTGTACAACATGTAAAATATAACAGGTAAAAATTATTCCAAGATAAAAAAAATCATTACAAATAATAGCTCTGTATATAAAGAAAAATTATTTGATCCAAAATAGGGTTATTCTGCTCTATAAGTAGCTTCTAGCTGTTTCTTCCTAAGAAAAAACTAAATAAAAAGTAATTAGGCCTATTTCTCACAATGTGACTATATCCCAGTCTCAAATTAGTTTCTCATAATTGTGACTTTACATCTCATAATGTGACTCTTTCGCAACTTTTTTCTTTATAATTGCAAAATTATACAACATGACTTTATATCTCAATTGAATTTTTGTTTTTCATAATTGTAAAGTTATTGCAAGATGTAGTCACATTGTGAAATCTGACACTATATATTGCAATTGCATTTTCCCCCTCATAAGTCATATCCTGCAACGTGACTATATCTCACAAGTGCACATTTCTTTTAAACTCTTAATCTAAATAAACAGGCTTTTGATAGGATATAGTACAGACCCCTGAATGATAAACAAAGAAATCTTGAAAGTGTTAGCTACAACACATTAAATGAAAGAGGTGACTTTCACTTAGCTGGACAAAGGAGAACAATATCTCATTATGGCTGACCATGAGCTGATCTAAACACCGGCAGTGACAAAAAAGAGAGCACCAACTCAACCCTTCCTTTTGAACATCATGTTATAGTAACTCTGTCGGCTAGAGAATAAGATAATCACCAGAGTCATGCTGACCAGACACTTTGATCGCAAGGGTTTATTAACTTTGCAAGCTCCCCCAGACGTACAAGCTCATTCTGAACAATGTACCATTCACTACATAATCTTATTAGTAAGAACAGAGCCCAGTGTAACACATGGTGCCCAGAAAAATGTCTAGTCACCATCTATCTTCCTTCTTTTCACAGTCATCACTGATATATCTCATGGTGTACATCAGTCTAACACTTCAAATACAAGCAGAATCCCAATGACTGATATCAGCTAGCTGCGTATTAGCAATACCATAAATGCTAACAATTCATGCTACAAGGAAGATTCTTAATTTTGATAAAAAAAGTGACCAGATGTGAGTCCGGAAGACAGTTTTGTAAAGCCATGTGATCAACTTACGCAGGCCAGAATAGCAAGAGGACAAACATCAGTGGCCGGAAAACTAGCATAATCGTTTCAGTCTCTGTTGAATAGTCAGCGACCAGTATCCACTCAAAAACTACTCAAATCAAATTTGCTTCAGCAAATTGCACTCAGACTGCCTGTGTCCATTCAGGTGCACTTTACAAACCTCTGGCTAACCGAATAAACACTAGCTAAAGATGCTATCACATGTCCCAAAGAATATATGTGCTCTCTCATGTTGCCAAGACAGAAGAATGTCAAATTCTTCCTCACCACCAATGACTATACACTTTTGTGCTTTGTATTATTTCTTAGTCAGTTAAGTCATTGGGTGCTGCTAAACATCTGAAGCCAAATTAAAGAATTGGAAAAGACATAGCGGATTTACACTAGCTGGGGCAGCATCGATTACACTGTCCCCTTATGAGTGTTTAAATAGAGGGCAACAGTGCCACAGGAGTCCAATGAAATGTGATCTGCCTATTTGATAGCTAATTTAGAGGGACTATATGACTGGGTGGGAGCAAAAATAACAATAGCCTGGGCAATAACCTGTCCTGGAGGGAGGCCTTGTTCAGGAACTAACCAAGAAAAGTAGTTATGCTAATAGAACACATAATACAGAAATAATAAAAAATGATGAGGATCATATTATATGCTCAGAGTTTAATTTGATTGACATCCAGTTTACAAAGTGCACCAGTGAAAGCAAGAGATTTATTTGCCGGTCCAGTGATTTCATTTCTATCATTGGGTTCAATTCACTTTAAAGAGTCCATTATACAATTAAGCTCTTTCCAAACACGGATGAAGTTTCACCCTTTATTGTAAATGGCCATCCGCTATTGAAAACCTTTTTATTTGGACTAGGCTTAGCCAGTGTCAAAGCCAGGTAAGTATAATGACTAAAAGGATATGGAAACAAAGTAAATAGGTGAACAGGCTTCATGGAATGGCTGCAATGATGTTGGCGATAATGCTCCATTAAATTATGGTTCAACCCACAACACAAATGGTAATTTCTGGTACTTTATCTTCTTATTTTAAACCACATATTAATGTATTAACTTATTAATGTACCAATTTTTTTTTTGTCTGAACACTGGCTCATTGTGTGGTTTGGGTTAGTGGGTAATTTAGTGCCTTAGTAGACTTCTGCTTCTTACTTTACACAATATAAAAATCTTCCCTTCGTCAGTGACTTTACTGCACAAATCGAATCATCTGATATGACAAAATCAGATTTACGGTCCATAAACTTTCTTAAACGTAGACACAACAACACACTATCGTTCATCTACAGCCCAACTCCATCACAAAAACATTTCTAGCAAAATCCAGAAAATCTGTTGTTACCAAGATCCTTCCACCATATAGGCCTACCCCAAAATTGCCCATCAATAATAACTCTTTATTAAAACATTGTCTTCACATGTTATTGTGAAAACATTATGCTATATACGTTACAGTGATTTTAGGGAGGAAAAATGGCTTATTGCTTTAGTAGACTACAACAATCATTTAAAATAATAATTCTTCAATAAATGGTTATCTACAACATTTGATTGAAGTAACAAAGTATTTAAATGATGGGAAAAGCCAACTATACATGACAGCCAATTTATGAGAGAATTGATGGACAACACATCCCATAAAGCACTGCAAATAATGCAGGCCATCTGTGTGTTTTTAAATATATTTTCAGAACACATTACCTATGTCTTTATTGCAGTAAAGCTGCAACCTCCCATATTAACTAACATTTGGTAGTTACCTAACTAAGACTTTTGCAGAGTAACAGGACCTTCTAGGGATTTGCTAACTAAATGTGCTTTTTTTTAAATAAGTTGAAATTACTAAATAAAAAAAGGACTTGTGACTTATACTCAAGCATATGCCATTGCTTAAACATCTCGTTGTTCATGCTAGCCGTGTCTAAAAAAGATTTGTTATCGTTAAAACCAGTTTTAAAGATTATGAATGGAATTACTGCTATGGTCTCTATACCACATACGTTACGCAAACAATACTGAATAGCTAATTTCATTTGCAATGACTTCACAGCTGAGGTGCTAATATACCATTTTCCATGTCTAATTTCAGAGGTTGAACACACAAATCACATTTGTACATATAATACAGTCCATACACAAGAATGTCAACTGTCAAAATACCTGCACATTTCACAATTTTTTTTTTTTACAATGGAGTCTTCCAGGAAGAAGCACTGGTGTAGTGTGCGCTTCATGTGGACATGTGTGAAGATGAAGAACATACCAGACAGACATCTGGTATTAGTTACTCATGAAAAGGAAATTCAATAATGCAAAATTCACAATCTTCACCAACTTCAAGATTGCTAGTTTTTGGTGCATAGCATACTTCCTCATAGTCGCATTGCAAACTGTCACTTACTTTTGCCTTTGGGCTTGGCACATGATCAAAGGTGTTTGCTTTCATGCTAGACGTTACACATAATTGTGCATTAGTTTTGGCAAAGGGGCCGATGTATGTCACGGGTGATGAAAAAAAAAAAAACGAGTTCAATGATTACATACTAGCCAGGTTTGGTTTTTTAACTGCAGCCACAGAATACTGTACACTGAAACGGAGCTGCACACACTTCATACACCTAATTCTTTCTAATAGAATAACCACAAGATGAAATATCTCAATCTTGATCAGAAATCAAAACTGTCACATGTACAGTATGAGACAGCTTCCCTGTGCTTATGTTTGCCAATGATTAACTTTATTTTGTATAATAATGTTACAAGTGATAATGGCAACAAGAAAGCAATGATATTCAAATATAATATATAAAATATATAAAAATAAAGTTTCTAAAGGGGGGTTTCGCCGCCATGCCAAAGAACCAACATTTTGGTTTCCCTTAAAGAACCTTTTTTTTTGAAGAACATTTTAATAATCTAAACCTTTTTCCCCTATAATGAACATTTTGTGCAATGGAAAAGATCCATGGATGCTAACCGTTCTTCAATTAAAAAAAAAAAAACTTTATTTTTACAAGTGCAGATGAAAACTGCTGTAGTTGAAATTAAATAATTATGTAGGCTATATGGTAGGCAAGCCTACTCAAAAAGTGTTTTATTGAAGCAAGTGAATGTTCCAACATTTCATGACAATGTATCATCTTAAAACTGCCTTACCCCCAGCAAGAGGTAATGCAAATTCAAAGCAGGGCAAAGGTGCAAGGGGAATGACTTATGTCTGCTCTTCATACATCAATATAGATTAAGCCGTTTTGAAGTGAGAGTGAAAATATCCTTACAGCATGGCAAATGCTCATAATTTACAATAGGCATACAAGCGCAAAGCCTGACATAGTTCACTTCAAAGAAAGGAGGGAAAGCGTTACTGATGCTGGTAGAGATACATGATGCATTTCGACTAAATAATCCCCCACAGTCAATGAAAACCATTTCCACTGGCTTAGTTCTCGTTGTACAACATGTCCAAGATAGCGAGTAACGTATCAGGAAAATAGTTTTCACAAAATATGTTTATATAGCACCTGTGTAGGCCTACGTTCAAAGGTCGTTCCGTTTTATCGTAGTTATTTTGCTCTTATCCGTTTTCGAGGACTTTATCGCTCATTTTATCATGTTTTAATTGTCATATTATTCAAAATTAAGAGGACACCACATATTATCGAGGATATAGGCTAATATAGCCTGAACGTCAATAAAAAGCTGGTTTCTTTTTTTCCAGGGTGAACGTTTGATCAGATCGCATCATTGTAAAACAGTCCCTCTGAAATCGAAAACTTAAGCTTATTGCCTTAAATGTTTCAAACAACTTGAAGGTAATAATTTAATTGCACTTTCGCTCGAACTCCGAAAATTCATAGGCAAATGGAGTAGAAATGACCAAATAGATTGTGACAAGTTAAGTTGATGGAAGCAATTTTTTTGTTATAATGACATCCGCCTCTGCTAAATCAAGGCACTTAATAATGTCAAGCAACAAGATAATTTCAAATAAACCATTACGTTGCTCCTCTCACACCCCCACATAGGCTACTAATTAAATGCGGACTTAAAATTCGATGCAAGAAGTCTGACAAGACGAAGACTATCGCTTTAACGTGTTGTAATATAAACATGCTATTGTGTTCATTTACATTTCCTCCAGTTATCTTCTGCAGACAGCGCAGTTTTGCAAGCGCAACGGAGCGAAACACAAATGCAAATCACATGTGATTCACGCTAAATTACTAGCAAAGTTAAACCAAAAGCCGTTCACTTACGTTTGACTTCTTCATATGGAACGAGAGGAGTAACTCCAATGTCAGCGAAACCCTATTTTATCTTACTTCGGCGGGCAGGGAAAGGGTTTTCTTCATCCCAAAGGTACATATCCAAAATCATCATAAAGTAGAATCCAAGTCGGGAGGGAAAGAAAGTCACCTAAATCTGCGAAATGATGGTAAGTATCCAGGTAGGTAGATGCTTCATACCGCACGATGGAGAACGGAAGGCTGCGGAAAGAATCAAGAGTTTTTTTCCCAAGAGCAAAGCCTTTTTATCGTGTGACTTCTGCGCACTCCCGCCCACCCCAGTTTCTCTCGGTCGTCTACTGCCCTGGGTCTCACTCAATCGATTTCACAATCACCATGCAAACGTCCAGTTGAGATTTATTTAAATGGAGATGTTTTCCTGCTAATTTTCACAGGATGGGGTCGCTTGTTTATGGCTCGTCGTGACAGCAAATAGTTTGTAAGATGTTTTGTAGCTATATGGCGCTGGAGTGTTTTAGCCCTGAGGCGTAATAGAAATGCTTAGTGGTTTTTGGTATCTTTCTGGAAAACGTTCCATCACGGGGAGCGTTTTTACTGCATCTTATTATTCCTCTGCTTGCGATATGTCAAAATGTCTTAACCTAGACGATGAAGAGCAAAACAAACGGCTAAATTAGATTTTGTTATGGAAACTGTAAAAAAAAAAGTATTCAAAGTTTGAATAAAAAAGACCATTCAAAGTTTCGCCAACGGAAAATTGAGTGTAAACTATAGCAGCGAAGTGATTTTGCTGGTTTCATACTGGACATAGGCTACTTGAAGTTTATGTGCAAATCTCATGTGCTCAAATCACACGTGTTTCACTTTTCTGTGTTATAAATGGTCAAATGTGACAGACGTGTGCTAACACTGAGGTAAACAGTGACATCTACAGCAGTAGTACAGTATTCTGGCTAAAACTAACTGTTTTTTTTTTATTAAGTTACCCTTTAGGCAAGGAGAAATTAGATGGAGTTTAAACTAGGGTAAGACTAAAAAATGAACTAAAATACGAAAAACTAATGTAGCCTACTAATGCATAGCCCCATTCCAAAGTCTTATTTTTTTGCAGACAGGAAAGCTTCAATAGGCTATTCAGAATATTTGATTGCAATGAAACAAAATGCAGCGTTATTTGAAGGCTATTCCCTGTAATTAGAGGCAAAGTTGAACTTGATAAATCAATTTAAAATATAATTATTATAGTATACTTCATCACAAAATGAATTCTACCTGCAGTGCAAATACTCTGAAATAAAAAACTTGTCACTTTTCTTATGTGAATCTCAGCTCAGGGCTCTAGATAGAAAGATAGAAAGACGAGGAGGTGACAGCTTATCCACTGACCCATCTTACCCCATCCTGCTCTACTTACACAATGAGAGTACCCCGAATGCTTTATTTGAATTGTATTCTCTAAACTTAAAATAATGAAACTTAATAGCTGAACATTCAAGATGACATACATAAGGTGGGCAGATTTTAAATATACTGTTAATACACTTTACTAGAATGATATAGCAAGCATAAAACACTGGCTTCGCTTGATGTACAGTCCACTGTAAAGTTTCAATGTGGATTGCAAGTTCAGAATGTAACACCTTCAATTCATAATTCATAAATGATTTGTCAGTATAGATATGAAAGTGCTCCATAAATAACATCAGACATTTGTATTATTATTATGTCTTACTTGTTTCATGGATGTGCCCGTGGAAGAACCACCACTTGTATAAGTATAACAATGCACAATTGTATGTCGCTATTTAAAAAGGGCCATATCTTGTCAACAATAACCATAAACCATATCTTTATCATTATTTGTGTTTAGTATTAGTGCAGAAATCTCCACAATATCATATTTGCATTATTATTTGCACATAAGAATAATGTTCAATCAGTTGTTTTTTTCGAGCACATTTTAAGAGGACATTTACTGAAAACTACTTTGTTTACAAAAATCTCCAATTCTGTTTTCGTTCCTGTGGGATATTCTTCAAAGCTTGTCTGATAAACCAAGAGGGATGGAGCTTTGCAAATGGGCCAATTATGTTTTGTTTATTACTTAAAAATAAATTGGTCAGTTTACCCATGGATCAACTTATCCTTCGACATCATGGTATGGGGCAAGCTGCTACTTGACATATATGGCCCACATGTGTTAAAGATGCCATATACATATTCATTTTAGAAATAAGTTGTTTCAGTTGAGCAAAACAAAACTGGCACATCTTACCCCACTCTCTACTGTAGGGCAACATTTCTCTGTGTTTATTTGTTGCGTTTCTTACAGAACAGTGTGTCAACCTTTAACTAATCCCTTGCACTCTTTCTCCAACAAGTGTGTTGTTTTATGGGTATGTCCGCTCTATGAACTAATGCACTGTCATACCTCTGATAATGATTTCATCTATTATTACAGCTTTTTCCTCTTTCTCCTGCTCTCATCAGGTTGTCACAAGTTTCGCTTCACCTCCCCTTGTGCATCTGTGCATGTAGGAGTGATAACTTAATCGTCTTTTATTTTCTGTTGCCTGTTTTTCTTGATATTGATGTGTAACTTATCAGACAGAGGGTTAATTTTTCACCTCCTCCATGACACACTAATTTAATCAAGCTGCTGAAATCTTGCAATTTCATTTCCCTCAACACTCAAAATGCACCACTTCATCACTTGTCCCTCTAGAGCTCACGCATTACCAAGAAAAAACAGGGGCTTTCAGAGTCTTCAGAGACTTTTTTTAGCCCTTCAGGCTTATCATGACTGTCTATTCAAAAAGGTATTCCCATCAGCCCTTGCTGAGCCCCTAGAACACGTGAAGGGAATTTTTCAGAGATTAAGAGGACATGATGTTTGTTGTAGTAGGGTCAGAAAAATTGCAGAAAACTTTTATAATAAAGGTGAACTGTGTATGGCATGATTATTACTATTTAAAAAAAAAACACAAGTTCAGGTTTACTTTGCACCGGAGCACTCCTTTTTGTTTTTTTGAGATGCGAGATCCGATCTGTTATCCAGATACAGAAGCCTCTTGATGTGGACAGGTGTAAACGCACCGTTGGTTCCCTTGTGTCATGTTCTCACTGGTTCATTGTTTGATTATGCACAGGTGTTCCTTGTTAGTCATTAGTCTCTCTGTATGAATAGCCCTCATGTTTCATTGCTCTCTTGTCTTCTCTTTTCTTGTTTCATGGTTTTTGATCAAGTTAATATCAAGTCAAGTCAAGTGTAGGCCTACGTTTATTTTGTAGGCTATTTAGTTCACGTTTATGGTAATAAAGAAACTGCATGGGTTCAGTAATAATCGCCTCTAGTTGACGTTTGTTATAGAATACTAGACCGATTACTAACCCAGCAGTTTCCCTCTTTCGTCTGCACCAGGGGAATCGTCCCGTTGAGGATTATGTGGCAGACTTTTGTAAGAAAAGACACGAAAACAAGCTTGAACCAAAACCCGACCAAACGTGACAAATATATATATATATATATATATATATATATATATATATATATATAGACCAAACGTGACAAATATATATATATATATATATATGTCTTTTCTATTATATATATATATATATATATATATATATATATATATATATATATATATATATATATATCGATCGAGAGAGAGAATATATTTTAGAAATAGGAAAAAATATATTTTATATATTTTAATAATTAAAGATAAATATTATGAACAGTAGATAAATATATACAAATTATTTATATATATATATATATAAATATATGTATATAAAGTATATACATATATGTATATATATAATATATATTTATACAGTATACACACATATACACACATTATATATACAGTATGTAATCGGTCAAAAGTTTGGGATCGGTTAGATGTTTAATATTTTTAAAAGAAGTCTTGTATGCTCACCAAGGCTGCATTTATTTGATTAAAAATACAAACAAAAACAGTAATATTGTGAAATAATATTACAATTTAAAATAACTGTTTTCTATAATATAATTTATCTCTGTGATGCAAAGCTGAATTTTCAGCATCATTACTCCAGTATTCAATGCCACATGATCCTTCAGAAATCATTCTAATATGCTGATGTAATGATTAAAAGAAACGTTTATTATTATTATCAATGTTGAAAACAGTTGTGTACTTCTTCAGATCAGCTGATTTAAAATAGAAAGCTTTTGTAACAGTATAAATTACCGTTCAAAAGTTTGGGGTCAGTAAGGGGGAGATTTATTCAAATAAATTAATACTTTTATTCAGCAAGGATGCATTAAATTGATCAAACGTTACAGTAAAGACATTTATAATGTTACAAAAGTTTCTATTTCGAATAAATGAAATAGAACTTTCTATTCATCAAAGAATCATGAAAAAAAAGTACACAACTGTTTTCAACATTGATAATAATAATGGATGTTTTTTAAGCATCAAATCAGCATATTAGAATGATTTCTGAAGATTCACGTGACACTGAAGACTGGAGTAATGATGCGGAAAATTCAACTTTGCATACACAGGAATGAATTACATTTTAAAATATTTTCAAGGAGAAAACTGTTATTTTAAACAGTCATAATAATTGTTAAAATATATATTTATTTTGAAGATTATGTATCACAAATATTTAACCAAGTATTTTTGGAGATAAATCCTGCCACTATTTTATGAGACCAAAGCCTCTCTTAAGCTACTGCATGTTCCCTTCCCATACATCAGAATTTACTGCTATAAGCAATACCACATGTTGGGAGGGCTGGAGCAGGGTGTTCCCAAAGAGGAGGAGAGTGCAGAAAGACAAGAGTTGGTATGCACAGCATAGCTAGAAGAACACAAGTGTAATTTGAAGGTCTAAATGTGCTCCCCGTCAATAAGAGAGATATTTCATTCAAAATTATTTACTGGAACCCACCCAAATAACTATCCATCTCCAATAGTCTGCTCCCAGGGCAATGTCAATTGGTGCACTGTTTCAACTTAAAATATTGGGTCAAGAACCGAAATTCTTATATACAAGGCATAAAATATGTCAGAACAACATTCCTCATTCAAGTCAAGAAATACAAGAGAAAAATCCAAACAACGGCAACATAGTCACCTCCTAGAATATTTCCCCCTTTCTTTCCTTCACACTGAGTGAAAAAACCATGCCACTTTCACTCATTTATGAACAAAGCAGAGAAAATTTGCTTTGAAAATTTGTTCCCCCCCCCCCCCCCCCCCAAACTTCACCAAAACAACTGTTTTTCTTGGTTCGTTCTGGCGTATTGCCTTATACCTTAATTTGTC